AACTATTCAGAGCCTTCTTTTGGAAAATGCTGTAGCAAAGCCATTTTGGTAGTCAGGAGAAATAAACATATGAACGTGTGTAAATTTTATATTTGCCTTTTTATTTTAAGGTCCCTGGAACTGCTGGAAAAACAGGAAGTTTAGGGAAGAAACCTGGTGAGTTACACAGTGTGGCAACATTTTATTTCTCCGTGTGCTAAAGGATATATTTGCTTCTAACAAAGAGTAAGAAACTTAAATAGGAATGAAGTCTCCTTTGTAACAATTTAATAAGTTGCTCATTCTTATTCTTCCCTCTTTCCCTATGTATAGCCCAGTATGTTGCTACCCTTCTTTAAACATTTACATTTGCTTTAGGGTATTGTACAGCATCCATCACGGCAGTATCCAAGCACCATGTTACAAAACTTCCCAAAAAAATGTTGCCTGAAAGTGAATGTAAATTCACACAACTTGGGGATGGTGCATATAACAGGGCAGTTGATCCATGAGGATTGTGCAGTTTTATGTACGTGTCTGATAAACATTGTGGTGAAGTACACATCCCACTTCAGGTTGTGGTATTCTGTCTGGAATCCTGCATAATTTACTTGCCACAAAACTGAGGGTTGGCCCTGTATATTGCTCAGCATGGAGGTTTCAGTGTTCCTAAATGCCCAGCCAACAGGAATGTTTTCACTACTTTCTCTAAATAAAGGAGCAGCAAGAAGACTGGGCATTCTTGGCAGAAACTGGTAGTAGGTGGGGGCACAGGGACAGCTATTTTCTGAATTTTCAGAAGCAATACAAAACTGATTACAGATGTGTCAATGTTTATACAGAGAAGGATTTTATGTCTTCATGCTGTATACACACTATGCTAAAAGGGGCCTAACTTTCCTGAGCTGGCTTGTGATTCTGTTGGAATTCTTCCCATCAGAGTTCAACACTCAGAAATAATAAAGAATATATTCAGAATGCAATAGAGCTATTTGTTTATTTTCTGAAAGATTTCTAAGCCCTGATCTACACTACGAGTTTAGGTCAAATTTAGCAGTGCTAGGTCCAGGATTAAATTGATCTGTCCACACGCCGAAGCCATTTTTATCGACTTAAAGGGCTCTTAAAATCGATTTCTGAACTCCTCCCCGATGAGGGGATTAGCGCTAAAATCAACATCGCCGGGTCGAATTTGGGGTAGTGTGGACGCAATTCGACAGTATTGGCCTCCCGGAGCTATCCCAGAGTGCTCCATTCTGACCGCTCTGGACAGCACTCTCAATTCAGATGCACTGGCCAGGTAAACAGGAAAAAGCTCCAGGAACTTTTGAATTTCATTTCCTGTTTGGCCAGCATGGCGAGCTGATCAGCACGGGTGACCATGCAGAGCTAATCAGCACGGGTGACCATGCAGTCCCAGAATAGCAAAATAGCTCCAGCATGGACTGAACGGGAGGTACTGGATCTGATAGCTGTTTGGGGAGATGAATCTGTTCCAAAAGACGAAATGCCAAAATATTTGAAAAAAATCTCTAAGGGCATGATGGACAGAGGCTACAACAGCAGCAGTGCCACGTGAAAATTAAGGAGCTCAGGCAAGCCAACCAAAAAGCCAAAGAGGCAAACGGACGCTCTGAGTCAGAGCCCCAGACGTGCCGCTTCTATGATGAGCTGCATGCAATTCTAGGGGGGGGGCCACGACTACCCACCCCTTTCCGTGGACACCTGCAAGGGGGGAGTCTCACGCAACAGGGATGAGGATTTTGGGGATGAGGAAGATGAGCTGGAGGAGGAGGAGGATAGCACAAGCGGAGAAACCATTCTCCCTGACCACCAGGAACTGTTTATCACCCTGGCGCCAATACCCTCCCAAAGCGGCTCACTGACTATGAAGCCAGAGAAGGTACCTCTGGTGAGTGTACCTTTGTAAATATAATGCATGGTTTAAAAGCAAGCGTGTTTAATTATTAATTTTCCCGAAGACTGGATGCATTCGTGGCCAGTACAGCCCCTCCTTTTTAAATGGCCAACCCAACAGGTGCTTGGTATGGGAAAGCAGGGCGCTGCTATTTGAAACCATTCCCACATGTTATGAAGATTGAAGAAGCCGAAAGACTGTGGCTTACCATAGCTTCCTGCAAGCTGAATTCAGTTGCCCAGCCATTCGTGTGCGATCTCTCACACCAAACTGGAAGGCCCTCAATATAAGAGGCAAAATGCGACCTTGTACCGAAAGCACATGTGCTATGTAATGTTAACAGCTTGGTTCACCGTGAAAGAGTCAACCCATTGTTCTCTAAAATGTGTCTTCTTAAATACTACTCTCCCTTTTTTCCTCCTGCAGCTGCAAATGTTTCAACACTCCCCCTATCATCTCCGTCCCAAAGGCTAGCACAGATAAGAAGGCAAAAAAAATGCACTCGCGATGAAATGTTCTCTTAGCTCATGCAATCCTCCTGCACTGAAAATGCTCAGCAGAATGCATGGAGGCAAGCAATGTCAGAGTCCAGGAAAGCAGAAAATGAATGCAAGGACAGGAGCGATGAGCGAGAGGAGAGGTGGCGGCAGCGTGATGAGAGGAGGCAGGATGCAATGCTGAGGCTACTGGGGGATCAAACTGATATGCTCCGGCGTCTGGTGGAGCTGCAGGAAATGCAGCAGGAGCACAGACCGCTGCTGCAGCCCCTGTGTAACTGCCTGCCCTTCTCCCCAAGTTCCATAGCCTCCTCACCCAGATGCCTAAGAATGCTGGGGGGCCCCCTCTGGGCACCCAACCACTCCACCCCACAGGACTGCCCAAGCAACAGAAGCCTGGCATTCAATAAATTTTGAAATGCAGTGTGGCCTTGTCCTTCCCTCTACCCTCATCCATCACCCCAATCGGTGCTTCCCTCCTCACCCACCCCTCCTGGGCTACCTTGGCAGTTATCCCCTTATTTGTGTGATGAATTAATAAAGAATGCATGATTTTGAAACAATAATGACTTTATTGCCTCTGCAAGCGGTGATCGAAGGGGGGAGGGCAGTTGGCTTACAGGGAAGTAGAGTGAACCAAGGGGGCAGGTTTTCATCAAGGAGAAACAAACAGAACTGTCACACTGTAACCTGGCCAGTCATGAAACTGGTTTTCAAAGCTTCTCTGATGCGCAGTGCGCCCGCTGCGCTCTTCTAATCACCCTTGTGTCTGACTGTGCATAATCAGCGACCAGGCGATTTGCCTCAACCTTCCACCCTGCCATAAACGTCTCCCCCTTACTCTCTCAGGTATTGTGGAGCACACAGCAAGCAGCAATAACAGTTGGAATATTGGTTTTGCTGAGGTCTAACAGAGTCAGTAAACTGCTCCACTGCACTTTTAAATGTCCAAATGCACATTCTTCCACCATTTTGCACTTGCTCAGCATATAGTTGAATAGCTCCTTACTACTGTCCAGGATGCCTGTGTATGGCTTCATGAGCCCTGGCATTAAGGGGAAGGCTGGGTCCCCAAGGATAACTATAGGTATTTCAACGTCCCCAACAGTTATTTTCTGGTTTGGGAAGTAAGTCCCTTCCTGCAGCTGTTCAAACAGACCAGAGTTCCTGAAGATGCGAGTGTCATGTACCTTTCCCGGCCATCCCACGTTGATGTCGGTGAAACGTCCCTTGTGATCCACCAGTGCTTGCAGCACCATTGGAAAAGTACCCCTTGTGGTTTATGTACTGGCTCCCAAGGTGGTCCGGTCCCAAGATAGGGATATGCGTTCCGTCTATCGCCCCACCACAGTTAGGGAATCCCATTGCAGCAAAGCCATCCACTATGAGCTGCACATTTCCCAGAGTCACTACCCTTCATAGCAGCAGCTCAGTGATTGCGTTGGCTACTTGGATCACAGCAGCCCCCACAGTAGATTTACCCACTCCAAATTGATTACCGACTGACTAGTAGCTGTCTGGCGTTGCAAGCTTCCAGAGGGCTATCGCCACTCGCTTCTCAACTGTGAGGGCTGCTCTCATTTTGGTACTCTTGCACTTCCAGGCAGGGGAAAGCGAGTCACAAAGTTCCATGAAAGTGCCCTTACGCATGCAAAAGTTTTGCAGCCACTGGGAATCATCCTAGACCTGCAACACTATGTAGTCTCACCAGTCTGTGCTTGTTTCCGGGCCCAGAATTGGCGTTCCACAGCATGAACCTGCCCCATCGCACTGTCGTCGCCTCCTCGCGTGCTTTTGCAGGTTCTGGTTCTGCACATACTGTAGGATAATGCACGAGGTGTTTACAATACTCACAACAGCAGCTGTGAGCTGAGCAGGCTCCATGCTTGCCGTGGTATGGGGTCTGAAGGAGAGCAGGAAAGCAGAGTTGCAGCAGAATCGGTGGATGACGACGGATGCCACGGGAATAGATATTTATACCGAACGACAAGAGGACCTGCAAAGTGGATTCATAGCACCAGGAAAGCAGAGTTACAGCGGAATCGGTGGATGATGACGGATGCCTGTTTTTAATGCCAAAGCTGTCTTCAGATTTGGAAAGTGTTGTCGGGTATTTGATATGGGTGAACAGAATTGCGGGGATAGCATAATGTGTTCAGTTAACATAACTTCCCTATATATATAATGTGTGTGTATTATATTAATACTGTACACATAATACCCATTAATGTGGTGTATACTATGCCTAACATATGTATTGGCTAATAGCCTCAAACAGCCTCTGGTTAGGCTCTGTCCCCAGCCAGCCTTTCCTTCACAGGGCTAGCTCAAGAGGTCAAATCCTCTCTGTCAGCCACCACTGAGCCAAGCTTTTCCTCTATCTCTTCCTTCCAGGTGTGACATCTTGCAAGGGTGTAAGCGGGTGGGGCTGATTGGGCCCTCAGGCTCTCATTAACCCCTTCTTGGTCATTGTAGGAGCTGTCTCTCTTTTCTGCTGACTCTCCAAATGCCAGTGTGGCTGGGGCAGGTTATGTTAGGCCATCCCAAGACTAAGACTGTTCTGTGCAGAAATGGCTTTTCATGCAAACACTGTGTCACAAATAATACAACACAAAATATGCCTCTTGAAAACTCACAAAAATATTGCACCAAAAATAAATGTCTTAATCTAGGCACGCTTAATCTCAAACAAAAGGCAGACTCAGTACACTTCCTGGGAGACCTAATCAGCCTAACCCAGTTACCACATCACCTAGCTAGTCCCCAGTCTTATTCTAGCCATTGCCAAGTAAAAACTGCCTCTGTCTCCAGCCTGTAGAACAAAACACACACACACAAAAAACCCCACTCAAAACCTGCCCGGGAAAAAGCTTCCCACTGAGCTCCCATCATTAGAGACCGTCATCTGTGAGCTATCTGGGGCTCTTAAATCCTCCTATTACTCCACCCCAATTAGGCCTAAAAAGATCTCCTGTGCAAATGCCCCTTAGTTCCTTTGGCTCATAGGTGGCTACTCAATCACAGCCACATCAAAGACCTAGCGTGTCAAAAACTAAACTCTCAAATCCTCTTCCACTGTTGACAACTCCACTATCCTCAGTTTACCACTGGGTCCCAATTGTTGTAATATTTAACACCACCTCCCTCTTTCTTACGTGAGTCCTGTCACTAAATCCTGCCTTGATTTATTTTCCAAAACGTTCATTTCCTATCTACTTCCATTGTGACAACATTTTTGCAGGGTTTGATTGTTGGAAGCCTTTCTCTCTGGCCTCCCGTAAACATGTTTTCCCCTGAGAAGTTTGTCCAAATAAGTGCCACCAAAAATATTCCTTGCAAAATGCTTCCATCGTTGTCAATCTCTCATTATTGTCACTGGCTTTCTGTTGCCTCCCTTAATCAAACTAATCTTTGTTCTTGATTTCAAAACTCTCCACAACATACTTCTCTGCTCTTGTCAGGGCCGGCTCCAGCTTTTCTGCTGCCCCAACCGGCAAAAAAAAAGAACGGCGGCACTTTGGCAGCAGCTCAATTGTGCCACTTCTTCTACCGCAGTTCGGTGGCGGGTCCTTCCTCTCTTCCTCTTCTGCTGTTCAGCAGCAGCTCAAAGAGGAAGAGGGAGAATGAGGGACCCACCACCGAAGACCCGGACTGTGCCGCCCCGATACCAGACGGAGTGCCACTCCTTTGAATTGGCCTCCCCAAGCACCTGCTTCCTACTCTGGTGCCTGGAGCCGGCCCTGACTCTTGTATCCTTTTGTTCCACTCAGTCCTCCTTTAGCCCATACTAGTGCTCTCTCTGTCAACCTCCTCCTTCTGCTGTTGTGTACAATGTTGCCAACTCTCACAATATTTGATTATTTTATGTAGGCCTCAGCTCTTGGAGCCATGTGATTGTGAGGCTCTCAGAGTTTTCTAAGTTTCTACCTTTAAAATATGAATGCTACAGGTTCAAAATCCACAAGGCAAATTAAAAAAAACCCAAACGCTATTCTTTAAAATCTTATGATTTTGGGGGGCTTGACTCATGATGTTTGAACCCTTGAGGTTGTCAATTCAGTTTTTCATGTAAATCCCTATACCTGGAACTCCCTCTCTGACTCCTATCTGCCACACCTCCAACCTCTCCTTCTTGAGGTCTTTTCTCAAAATGTACTACTTCTGGTAGCCAGGAAGACTATAGTCCTAAATAAATAAATAAAGTGGTGTGTGACCCTCATGATAAACACTACTTCCCAAGTGACTGTAGAATCTTCACTCTAACCTGCACCAACCCACCCCTTACTATTGTCTTCACACATCATTCTGTTCCTAATTTATGTGTGAACTCTTTTGGGGCAAGGCTCTGATATATGGTAAACTGCCGTCCATATCTGTGGTACAGCATAAATAGAAAATAAAACCAATTTGATGGTAAGAAGTGCATAGTGGACATACTGTACTCATGAGATATGGCACAGTAAATATTGCATGCTAAACTTGGGTAGTGGTTCCATTTTTCAGATTAACAGTAAATGGAATTTTTTTCTCTTTCTATTTAACAGAAATTGCCCAAGTTATTGCCTCTTACACAGCAACAGGACCTGAACAACTTACCCTGGCTCCTGGTCAACTGATACTCATCAGAAAGAAGAATCCAGGTGGATGGTGGGAGGGAGAGCTCCAAGTTAGTTACTACTACTACTTTTATAAAATTCCACATCCATATTTTGTTTTATTTTTCAAAGGATGGACACATCACTACCTCTGGGAAAAAATTAGTATGCAGCCAAAATATTTGAAACATACACATTTACATTAGTTCTTTAAAATAAAACATAAAATTATCTAAGGTAATAGCAAGGTATTTTGCCATGCTGTGGATAATAGAAAGATACAAACAAAGGACAAATTTTGGGCTAATCAAATCTATTTCTTCAACCAGTCTTGCTAAATTTCTTTTGGTCTAAACTGACTATTTAAACTGGTCTTTTTTCCGTTGGAAATATTAGGGTCTCAGAGTGATAGTCAATTTCTTCACTGTCTGTCCTTTCTTCACCGTTAATCTGCTCAATAAATTAATCAGTGGACAGCAGTCATGTAAGGATATGGTTGCCAAATGTTTAACATAGACGTAGTTTTATCCACCACGTGTAACAAAATTGAGTGTGATTAGGACAAATAAAAAAATTGCTTTTGATTTTAATTTAAAAGAAAACTCAAGTGATCCATTATACTACCTAAGCTAACGGACTCAGTTTTTCCCAAATGAGAGCATATCTTGTGTGTGTATATAAAAGGAATGTTTAAAACTGGTTTTGGAAGTACTGGCCGCTGTTTCAAGTTCTTCATTCAATGGGACTGTTTTGTCACAACGGAGGCTACCACTTTTACGAGCCATCTCTGCAAGGCCCAGTTTAATGAAAAAAAGAAAAAAATGATTAACTTTTGCCACTAAAAAGCACTGGATGTCAGAAAGTTTTAAAGTTATAAGATGCTTTAAAAATGGTTAATGTTGTTAATACTATTAAAATAACCAACAAGTGTTTTTTGTTTTGATTTTTAATGTTTAGAACTTGCTTCAGGTCAGTTCTGAAACTTTGACTTCGGTGCTTTTTAACAACAAACCTAATGGTTTTTTTTTCAGTCCTGCTTTGTGTCATCAATCTGATTTTAGTGTGTATGTGGTGACAATATTATCCAAAAGAGCAAAATTATATAATTTTTTGTAATGCACGTTTGAGTTTATCCAGACCTTAAATAGTCACTACCATCTCCTCCCTTCCATATTTCTTTACTGGTGGTTCTTCCCTCTCCCTCTGGGAGCTCCTCTCACAGGTTAATTTCAGCAGCTTGCTACATCACTCTTAATTTATAACGTAAGACGCTCAAACAAGTTTTATTGTTGCCAATAAAAAAAAATTTTAAAAGTAGAAAAGTTAAAACAGGATGCCTTCAGCAAGACTAACCACAATCAGCAAGTAACAGGCAGTGTAAATGTTGAAACAAACATTGGACTTTTATTATGTGAATATCCATCTTTACCTTGAGTTCCCATAGTACCTAATTGTATGACAGGTTTAACATTTAGGGTTTTTTTAATGTTTAGTTAAATGGCTTAAATCAGGATTAAAACAGATTTAACTTTTGTATTTAATTTTAAAAGCTTTAGGAACTGCATGAATACATGCTGCCAAACTCCATGCATGCCAGGGACTATATTAATGTCCTTCTCCACTCTTCTCATAAAATCAAGCCTGTAGTTGAGTGAGAAGTCAGATTCACAAATTACAGAACACTTTGTATGTAACCCCACCACCCTGCAGGACATCTAACACAGCTTTTAATACTGCAACAATTCTTGCTGTAACATGACAACGTCAGAGACACCAGCAACCTAATAGTATTTTATCTGAAAATGTTTTGCCTATTGTTGCTACAAGTACGGCTGAAGAATACTGTAGTGGAATAAAATTGAGGGAGGGGAGGAAATCTATTTTTTTCCGTAGCATGTTTAGTTTGCTCCTTTGACAGCATTTTATAGTCTGTTTCCTGTGCTGGTTGCTTGGCTCTTTCATGCAGCATCTGGGAAAAGAGAAGCATTAAAAAACAAAAGTATGGCTGTAAACCGTGAGTGGCAGGAGGATTCAGGAGATGGTGTAGTATCGAACTACTTTTAATTCAATTTTTAAAAACAATACGTTTCAAGTTGACACTTGTTCTTTTAAACTGTGGAAGAACCTATTTATTGTTTGATTTTTGGCTTGAAACAATGTTTGCTCATAATTGTCCATCAAAAAGAAATAGAACCTCCATTGTATCTCAGTCTGAAGGAGCTGGATTAAATATTAGTCAGAGTGGCAATAAAGATAAAATCAAATCAAATGCTGTAGGACTGCTTTTTCCAAACAGAACAGAGATGCATAAATATCTATCAGGCATTATATTCTGTTAGGCTTAAGGAGATCTTCCAGGACTATTTGGCTGTTGTTAATCTATGCAGACTTTGAATCAGATCTAAAAAGATTAGGTTAAATTGGTAATCCAAGATGTAATACTTCACAGATGGCTGCTTTCAATAGATATAGAACAAAGATATTTTTGTTATGCTTTAAAAGGCAAACTTCAGTATAATATTAGAAATTCTTACATCTTCATCCAACTACAAAAAGTAAATGGCAAAAAACACATATAAATCTTTAAAAATAAAGAATTAGCACTAAAATTAGTGCCCATTTTACAGTTGTTGGTCAGAAAGATTTAAAAACCATTTCCCAGGCTTCTCTTCTGGTTCTTTGCTGGAAAGAAGAAGTTCATTGACAAAATAATCTGAGACTGTTCCTGTGAAACATCTAGCCCAGTTTTGCAGACAGTATCAGATCCGAGTTCCATCTAGTCCAGTGTTTTGTCTCCAATAATGCTCAGTACCAGATATTTCAGTGGAAGGTGTGACAACCCTGCTGTAGGCAGATCTGTCCTCTACATTGTCTCATCCTAGTTTCCCTTAGTTAAATTGGTTGAAGCCCTGAAGCATGAACTTTAATATCCCTTCCAAAATTCGTTCTTAATTATAGCTGGAGATTCTTGATATCCATGTAAATGTCCAGCCCCTTTTTTTATATCTTGCTAAGCTCTTGTTTGATAAATGTCCAATCTTCAAGTTTAGCTGAACAAAAACTTGGAACACTTCCTATGCCACAGTGTCTGTCATTATCTTTGTAGCAATTGGTAACTGTTTGTGTATCTATTGTAAGTTTATAATACTACGGCTATAGTTTGCTGTTCTCCATGTGGGCTGAAGATAGGACAAGAAATAATGGAGTTAATCTGCAGCAAGGAGCGTTAGGTTAGATATGAGTAAAACCTTTTTAACTATAAGGGTAGTTAAGCTCTGGAACAGGCTTCCAAGGGAGGTTGTGGAATCCCCATCACTGGAGGTTTTTAAGAACTGGTTGGACAAACAGCTGTCAAGGATGGTCTAGGTACTTGGATCTTGCTTTAGTGAGGGGGCTGAACTTGATAACTTTAAGTCCCTTCCAATCCTACATTTCTATGATTCTATACTCTAATTTTAGCTTTTTAGAAATACAGTGTGGGAGAAATCAATGTTTGCCAAGTAGAAAAGGACTTACATGAGTATCAGAATGTTTCAGTGCTCTTAAAAAAACTATGTTCTGTAAAATCATTTGGCCTATTTTAAAGTGGTCAGTGTAACTTCAAATATAAATAAAATGTAGACTGAGTTACCCTGGCCTGGTTTGGGGTCTGTTGATGTGCTTAACCCTCTGAAAAGAATTATTTTCTTATTAGGCACGAGGGAAAAAACGACAGATAGGATGGTTCCCTGCTAACTATGTAAAACTTTTAAGTCCTGGTACCAGTAAAACTACACCAACCGAGCCACCTAAATCAACAGTATTACCTTCTGGTAAGTAACACAGTAATGTTCTCAAAATATTTGTTGTTCTGTGTCACTTGTGTAGTTTAGAACTGGACATTTCTAGTGAACTAACTGTTTTATACTAGTCACTTGGGTTTCAAAGTTCCTTTCTAAAAATATTTCATTTTTCTTATGAATTTCTATACAATAAGTTTCTTTATTTCATCTATAGAGTATTTTCTCATATCTAGCTTTGATCATATGACTTTAGGGAAAGCAGACCAGTCGAGTTAACATGCAATATATCTGTCATACATATTTGCTTATTTTAATGCTAATGAAAGGATACAGGACTGATGCCCCTAGAGACTGAAATATACTATCCACTAAAGATCCAGCACAGGCAGTAACAAACCATCCTACTAATGTATGCCAACTGTGGCAGGACCAGGTTTAAGGGTGAGAAGATAGCTCATTCTGTGTCCTTAATATCCCTGCTGAGTTTGCCAGTTTGGGTGGTACCCTTGTGGTAAGGACACTTGCCCATGAGGATCTGAAGTGAGACAATCAGTTTGATCCACATAAGCCATTGAACGATATCCAGATGGTAATGTCTTCCATTAATTTGACCTGGCTTGGACTTACACTCGTACACTACTTCCCTGAGCTGTTCTCTAACCATTATCATTCCCTTGAGCCAAAAGGAGTCTATTTCTAATTGACTGTGTATAAAACATTGAACCTACACACTGACACACCAAGCATGCCGTCTATCTTGATGTTCTGTCTCCAAATAATTAGGAAAAGTAGTCATAAGTATTTAAATGCTAGGGAACTAGATAAGTCATGAAATTATAATGGAATACTCGAATGACTGAAAGCTGTCATCTGATATGTTCAGTGACCTCTTTGAAAAGTATGAAATAAGTCTCATTTCAGTTTTCGGTGAAAGCAGGTGGCCACATCAGAAAAGTCTGCATCCCAAGTGGCACTAAATGGCCCTCTTATTGGTAGATTTAGCAGGAAAGCAAAAAAGTCAACTAGCATGAAGACTGATCTATCTTCTCACCACTGGTGAGGTAGCTTCCACCAGTTCAGGCTTGGGGCACACTTGCAAGGCATTGCAGAGGCACTTGTATTTTCTGTATTATAGGGCTGACAAGCTAGAACCTTTCACAAGCGCTAAACAGTGTTTTATACAAATACACAAACATTCTAGTAATGTCTTACATTATTCGTATCGTGAATATTGGACACCTCAAACATGATCGTACCAAATACAACTTTATATTGACTTTGGAGAGTGTGTGGAAGAAAAGGGACGATCTTGTATTTCCTTTTGTAATGATAATGTCCTCATTTGGCATGTGGTCAGTCTAATAGGGTGTCTTTATGGAGGAAGTCTGGAGGTATGGGCTGGTGGAACAGAATATAGAGGTTTTTTTATGCAAAGGAGCAACTTATGGCTGTGGGAAGTAGAACTGAGAAGAATCTTCATAAGAGGAGAGTAGTGGCCAGGGTAGTACATAGAGAGGGGTCTTTAAAGTGTGCAATAGCACATGATGTCTGGAGTTTGAAGGGGAAGGACTATCATAACATAACATGAATTGTATGACTTTGGACAGCTTTTTAAATTCTGTTGAATGGACACTTTTTGCCTATTGGGACCTTGAGAGTTTCTTAATTTCTCACTGCTTTATATCTGTCCCCTTCTAAACCTGTGATGTGAGCACTGTCCTCCTAGCTTGAGAAATGAGTGGGACTCCCTTCATAGCCTGTGAGTGCCACTTCTGTATTGCCACAGGTAGAGAGGTTATTTTATAGAAATACTAGGAAACCTGTTTCCAAGCATTCCTACTTACTTTAAAGAATAAGTGTGCTGCTTCCATAGTATTTGTAGCTTGTGCTGAGCTGGAGAGAGCCAGACAGGAACCTGCACTCTGATTCTAACCCATGTATAAGATGATGTATTACAAATAACCACTGGGCCAACTGCATATCATTATTTTGTTGTTTTTTTTAACTAGAAATGAGGGGTACATACGCTTTAATTTACTTATATAGTTATCTGTGGGTTTTGGAGCTGCTGTCACTGCTAGGAATACAAGCAAATTGGGATCATTCCTAGGGTTTTCCATCTGAGATGAGGTACAGTAGAATCTCAGAGTTTAGTAGTTTATATTTAACACGGTACTGTACTGTATTTGCTTCTTTTTTTTGTCTCTGCTGCTGCCTGATTGTGTACTTCTGGTTCCAAATGAGGTGTGTGGTTGACTGGACAGTTCATAACTCTGGTGTTCATAACTCTGAGGTTCTACTGTATATTCAAAACTCCACTAGCAAACTTAAGTGTAGTGGGATCGGACCAAATTCAGACTTTATTTGGCTCAATGCAGTATTAGTTGGGACAAATAACAGTGGATGACAAATTACCTTTTTTCAGCGTAAGAAACAGAATGCTAAAAATTTATAAATGTTAGAGAAACTCTGCACTGAAATGTGTACACCATATATAGTCAAATGTGGAAATTAGCTTGGATTAGCTATCTGACTCCTCCTTAGCATGATAGGCAAAGCAATAATTAAAAGGAGTCCTGACAGGCTCCAGATCTCTGGAGAAGTAAACAGGAATTATTTTGAGTTATACAAGTGCTAGCATAGAGTACTGGGAGGAAATTAATGCTGAATATCATGGAGCTGTTTCCTGACACTGAGATCTATTAGACTGTCAAACGATCTTTTGAGGGGAAAATACCAGAAGCCCCATTGCTTGGAACATAGAACACAGCAGAAAGGATAAGGAAATAAGTTGTTGTTGTTGTTCTTTTGTTTAAAAGCCCTACTTGGTTTGGGAGAATTGGGCCAGTTTTCTAATTTTCCTCCCTATTGTGATTGTGCGGAACCCATTGTGTCCTGGGAGCCACTCAGATATACTGAGTTCCATGATAAGAAAATAGAAAAATATATTGCAGGCAACAATTTTGCCCTGGCAAGAGGATGGGTTAAATGACCTAACAAGTTTTCTGATTTTTTTCCCCCTCTTCCCACCCCCCCACCCAACAGTCTCTAATTTCTGATATTCTAAACATCTCTGGCAGCATTGGCACCAGAGGTATATCATTGCTTGCTTTCTCCTGACTGGAGCTGTGTTTAGGCTTTCTCCCCCTTCAAAGCAAAGTTATCATACTTTGAAGAAAGAGTCCATACCCTAAATTTGTAAAAGTGGGGGTTCGAAAATGTTCTGTATGCCACAGTTATTTGTCAGTTGACCAGTCCTAGCTGAGAGAGTAGGCTTTGTAATGCTAGAGAAGATCCAGAACATGTGGGATTGTTTTGTCTCCATATAAAACCACTGTAGAGCTTTTGTGGGTAGAATAACTATAAAACTAAAGTTAAATGGCTGTAGAAAACTAATATCTAATCCTAGAACAAGTTCTGACTTTTAGAAAGTCAATCTTGATATGTAAACCCATCTTATTATTTGCTGAGTATTTTCTAACCAGGGAAATATTGCAGACAGTAATCATCATTGTAACTTGAATACACTTACATATGATATTTTACTGGAATGTTATCGATGCCATAGACTTGTTCATTTATCTTACAGTGTGCCAAGTAATTGGCATGTATGACTACACTGCACAGAATGACGATGAACTGGCATTCAACAAAGGCCAGATCATAAACGTCCTGAACAAGGACGACCCAGATTGGTGGAAAGGAGAAGTGAATGGACAAGTGGGTCTCTTCCCATCCAACTATGTGAAACTGACGACAGATATGGACCCAAGCCAGCAATGTAAGTGACCTGCTTACTATTTTACTGTTACTGCTTATGTAGTATTTTAAAATGTAACATGCAGCATTGCTATGATTCTGCTATGGTTTGCAGAACTCAAAGCTTGACCACTGCTGCATTTGCCAAAGTCTCTTTGAAGACCTTCTGTAAAAGAAACCTTATTTTGTGTTTTGGTTTTTTTAGTTCCATCCCCTTTGTAGCATGTTCCCTTTTATCATTTTTGCATCATGCTGTTTACATGCCTGACTCATTTTCCTAGCTTGAATTTTGCTCATTGTTTTGTTTTGCTTATGTGTTGTTTTCCTCCTTTTTCTAGGAATCATATGTTGTCCATCCCCCACTCAGGCTTGAAAGTCCTCAAAGAGACCCACTATCCCATATCACTGCCCAGAGGGATGATGGGAGATGCAGCCTTGATCATGTGACTTCCAGCATGATCATCTACTGCCTTCTGAGTAGAAGAACACACTGCAGAGCAGTTTACCTCATTTTACATTAGTTGCATGTAATCGCAATGTTTGAGTTAATTATCTACAGATATAGAAGCAAAATTACAAAAAAAAAAAATACACAGGATAGTGGGTCCTTTTGTGGCTTTCATAGTTACTAAACCAATTTTTTCCACCTTTGCACAGGTGCTTTCAGTAGTTTTACAAATAATTTTAAATGTGTATTTTAGCCTTTTAAAGGAAAAGAATAAATAAAATTTCTGCAATGCAATTTTTGTTCTTGCAAAAAGACCCACTATCAAGGAATGCTGCATGTGCTATTAAAATTGTTCCAAATGTCCATAAATCTGAGACTTTATGTATCTTTTTTTATATTTTTCACTTGTCCAGTGTTATCAATGTCTTGTTTTTTTCTATTACAAAAGAACAGAAGGAGTTAAATCAGTTTAAGGAACTTTAACACATGCCCAATTGGTATTTTGTTCCAGTTCTTATACTGTATGTATTAGGTGTTCCTTGTTGAGTATGTAATACATTGTGGACAGAAGAAATTAATTTCCTTCCAATGCAAGAGATACTATCCTTGCATAATGCTGTAATCCTTATTGCATTAATTTTATTTTGCACGGTTATTTGTAGCTACAGTAAGAAAGCATCTTTGTTTTGTTTGTCTCAGATTTGTGTGGTTTTTGCATTTTCATATCTGAAATCAGTAGAATACTACATTCATGTGGTCTTTGAGAATTAACATGACTTTTTTTTTTTTTCAACCTGTTACATGAAGTTTTATTACCATTGTTACTTTTACATGACTATGGAACATCATCTTTTGAACAAGTAATTATCTTGACAAGAAAGAATGTATAGAAATATCTCCCTGCAATTAATTTCCAATGTTTACATTTTTTAACTAGACTGTGGAATTTATACAAATTAATATTAAATGGAGCTTACAGTCAAGTTTATGTAGTAGATGTGCTGTAGCCTAAGCCATGTTTGTCTTTCAAACATTAATTATAAGCTCTTAATGAAATGCCTGGTGCTCTCTGCACCCGGGGGGAAAAGAACCATGCCTCAAGCACAATATAGCCATTCTACTAATGACTTTAACATTTAGTCATATTCTGTTCATGTATTTCTAAATTTCATGCTGGCGGTGTCATAGAGTTCCTTCCTTACCCCTCCCCTCTTTTCATGTGGTGCAAAGAACAAGTGAAGCTCCTTATTCAATTGCACTTCAGTATTTTCATTGATATGAATGTAAAATATATAAATATATAAAACCTGCAGCTTTAACAACTGTAATACAGCCTTTACAATTAGTCACATGTATAGATAATTAAATTCTTCGTATAAAAAGCTAGACCAAAATGTGTTTGTCGTCTTCTTGCTGTGTACAAACAGAATTTGACAAGTGGTATTAGTATGTGTAACAAATTAACCATACATGAATAACCTGAAACTCCGCTTTTAATACAGAGGCAAGTTTGTGGTGTTTCCTTTGCATACTGAGACACATTCAAATTGATCACAATTAATTACAACTTTTCAAACGTGGCTCCTGATCGTAAGTGTTTTCTAAATGCTACGTTGAAACCATCAACATGCAAGTCTCATCTATCAGTAGAGAGTGGAGCAATTGTAGTATGTTACCACATTGACTCTCAAACTTAATTTTAAGACTAGGATTTAAGTTTAAAATTTGCTTGTTAGTTTGCTACACAGATTTTCCTTCTCCTAGAAGTGCATTCAGCACGGTACAATATAATGTATTCCCTTCATTAGTTTGCAAAAAAAATATGCTCTGTACACTAGCATAACTTAATGTAAATATTTTGCATAGCACTCAAACATTTTTCGTACTATAATCATGCATGTCAGTGTTACTTGAGTGAAGGCTTTCTCGACATTCCCATTATAAGTTAGTGTGTGTAAAGATGTGTAACTTGACTATAAACATTTGTCCTAAACACAATATTGGCCTGTATAACACCAGCCCATAAATAGATTTTCTCCAAATTTGGGCAATATCTTTGTAATTACAGTACTTAAATGAATATTTTTTCTCTTCTCTGTACATGCAGTGGTGTCCGATGCTTGTGTGTGTGTGTGCGCGCGCGCTCTTTTTTTAAAGTTGGTTTTTTTTAATTCAAGCAGGCAATATTTTTAAACAAATTTTCATAAGAAATTTTGATACACTGGCTTATTATGCATGATTGACAAATCACAATGGCACCAAAGTTCATGAGGTTAATGAGCCATGAACTGAAGAGTCTAAGTTTGCTCTATAAACACATTAGTGTATAGTGTGCCAAGAATCCTTGTTCTGAAGAGTGCTGTGTACCACTTGACACGGCAATAGTTTATAAAGCAGTCCATTGTTGCGAATAATCAACTCACTAAATAGCTCAAATCACACACTAATGTGTCCTAAACAAGACGTTCAAGTGAGCCATTATGATTTGTTAAAGCACATGAAGGTAAAAGGTATCCATAATATTTGTTTACTCAATAGACTGTAATAATTCAGGGAATTGTATTTGCTATGTAGTTACATTATTTTCAAAGGAATTGTAGTATCAGAATGAACTGTCATACACATCCATTGTTACCTTTCTAGATTTTCAAATTTCTACATTAAGTGAAAACAAAATCAAAGGGACTCTAATGGCAAAAAAATTTAAATTAGATCCTTTAATATTACACCATTGAAAGTAAAGACTTTGAATTGTTCCTCAGAATCCAATTTTGACTCTTCTCCTTCTTCATTCATCCAGTTCATCTAAAAAGATCTTTAGCCTCCTCAACCACACAAAACCCAAAAGCCTATCAAGCCTGGTGCTGCAGCTTCTTCTTAGTGTATATGCAACATGCCTCAGGCGGCAAGCAGACGTATCCGGCAGAAACCTTAGCCCGCCATAGTGACTCAAATGACACAAATGCCAAGCTCCACAGCCACACTGAGATTCAGACCTTCCTGTGATGAATTACTCCCATGTCCTTGTTTCTTCAGTCCCCTGACCTGGGACTGCAAAACCAGCAGGTATGAATCCCCTTCTAGGAGGCAGTAACACCAACATGTACACAGAGGAGGAAGGGTGCATAGCCTGTCAATCATTCAACATGTTTTTAATTTATTTAACCACAATTTAGAAAAAGAGGGAAATCCTGTCACTAGCCTCATGCTGCAAGGCTCCTGAAAGCCATTCTATGTATAGGAAAAGTTAATCCTCATGTTGCATAGCAGCTTTTCTTGCTCTTTCTGGCTAACAGGAAAGCTACAACAACACTGCATACAGGAAAGGAGCGGTCATTCAAAGGGACAACGATGAGATTGGGTTTATGGCCCCTTTTAAGTCTTTTCTGCACAGTTCATAGACACTTAATCATCTGAGGAAGAAGTTTCCTTCATGAAAGTGGTTGGAGAGGGACTTCCCGAGCATGCTCGATGGAGCTGTCAACACAATTTTCAACACTGATTGCCTTCAGCAAGACTTCATCCCTGGGATGTGGGTTGTCTGGAATATTGTACTTAATTTGGCATTTTTCAGGTTGTAGAAGAGAGATTTTTCTATTTGGAATAGGGATTAGTCTCTAACTTCTGTTTACTTGAGTAAAAGTAGCCTAAGTGTGTAGTTTAACACAATAACTATGACTGTGTATTTAAGTACTGATATAGGCAGCAAATTTGCCGACTTTGCATCAGGCCTCTCAATTGAATTATCATTTTCAATTTCTTTATTCCTCTTTATTCTATTTTAGAAATTCCTTAAAGGAAAGCTGCATTGATTTTGCTTAGCACAAACTAACCAAAACTAGTCTGGCTCAAATCCATATAAATGTGTTTGTAACACTCTTGTGATAACTAGCATAATGCCATGAAATGACCCAGTGTTGACAACAGTATAAATCAGATTATGGAACAGTTTTCATTCTGCTATATTATTGAATTAACAATTAGGTGAAAAGTATTGTTTCACTGTATTTATATTTGTACAATTTATATTATCAATTAATACTATTGTAAAGTTTGTGAATCTGATGCCTGTGGAAGACATTGGTTTGACAATATGGGATACTGAAAGCCTCTATTTATCCTAGCTACAAAACAAGAACTTTGGGATGATTGCTAATGTGAGGTTTCCATTCACTCTCCTTCCTTGCCCTTCATGCCCCTTCAGTTGGCTTAAACTCTGACCCTGCAGTAGCCGTAGCTAGTGGTGAGAAGGAAGTTCAGCCCCGATAGTCCATTCGCTTTTTAACCTCTGTGCTCAGACTGTCAAGGGTTCTGGTTTGTGCCCACAGAATATTGGACTAGCACCTCCAACTCACAGGTCCACTTAATTCCTTGGCGGTGAGATAGTAATGTCTTTTGGTAACTACCAAGCTGAACTGAATTCAAACCAGTGACTGAGGTAAAAGGCTCCACATGAAAAGACCACATTCCTCACAACCACATGCAGGATTCTTTATACTGGACTGCTCCTCAAAGTCTCACAGCTCTGTGGTAATTCTGGATCCTGACCTCTTCCCTAGGAGGGACTCTGAGTC